TTGTTAATTATAACAAATTCTCTGAGGACACGAAAGGCGGGTTATTTATCAATTATTGTTAATATTTGTCACAATCAAACTTTGTTAAGTTCCTTGTCCGTTAAAAGCTTATGGACTTATTTCTGAATAATATACTTCAGTCTCATTCTGATTTATAAGTTGCATGTTTTATCTTTGAGACGTAACCTTGTGATACATAATCAATGCACCTCAAATTAACTATCGCAAGAAAATGCTCATCCACTGGAATTTCAGCAAGATGGTGATGGGGTTAAGAAGAAAATAAACATTGAAAAACGTGTACAGTTGGTTTGTTGCCAATCATTTGAAGTGTATGAGACAAGTTCAGTCAATCAAAAAATAATAATTTAGATATATTTAAGAAGAAATGGGCAACATAAATACTAGACTTTAGGTGTGACTCTGCTATGTAATTCTGTGTAAATGAGTGAGTGAGTTAGTCATGTACATGTTAGTTTTTGAACTGAATTAATGAAAGTCTGTTAATTATGTTAGTAAAGTATTATATTTTATTTTATTTTGTTTTATACAATTTAAGAAAAAAAGTTCAGTAAATCACTTACCACTTGTATAGTTGGTATCGTTCGTGCATTCAACTCCGGCGTTTTGAAAGGACGCGTAGAGGTCGAAGTTTAACTCACGCGGACATTCTAAAAGATTTCTCTCGTGTCCTGTGCACTGCAGATCACTCAACCAAATGGAATCACCTTTGCCATACCTGAAATGTGAAACATCAGATAATCCTCAAGGTTTCCAGCCTAATTATCAACGGATCTATCGAATTTCACGATTGCACGGTACATCCTGCCGTCATTATTCTGTAGCTAAGCGTTGGGATTGGACTGAAGTAACAAAGGATGAGGGATGAAGAAAAAGAAAGTTAATCCCTACATACAGTCAACCCTCGCCTTGCGGACACGCCGCTATTACGGGCACCTCGCTAATACAGACAGACGTTACATCCCCGACCGAAACTACAAAAGGAAGCTTTAGCAATGACGACGGCGACGCCGAGGACGACGCCTTGAAAGAAATGGATTTATATCTTACCTTCGAATGTCGCAACTGTGTATATCTACTCAGTACGCCTGTCGGTCTTAACACTTGCTCAAGCTAAATATGCAATGACAGCGTTCAATTCCAATCGACGATATGAAAATAGGCTACTGCGGTTCTCGTTCTCCAAAATACGAAGAACTTGGTCATTTCACGTTGTTGTTTTACAGATGACGGCTAAAAAACGTACCAAGATTCAAAACGCACGTACATAGCCATTGTTATGCTCATTAAACCTTTTGTTTGGTGGCATTCTCGTTGGCGTCGCCGTCGTGGCTTGCTAAACCTCCCTTTTAAAGAAATCTATGGAGGCAACTCTCACTATCACGGAGTTACGGACACTTCATGCGGTTCTAAACTAATATTTTTGATGTTCTTCTCTCGTTACAACGGACAATTTGGAAGTCTTGAATGACGGTTATTCTATTATTTTAAATCGACCTGACCTATAGCCTGCGAACGCAGACGTATTTCCGGCTGTCGCTTGTCTCCGGCGAAAATAACGTCTGCGAACCCGAGCCAGGAAACGATTTTTTTGACGTAGGAATTTTAAGAATTTCACAGTTTAGCTCAAGTAGCCCCAGAAGTACTGCGCGAGATATTCGCTGCGAGGAGCACTCGAGTTTCATTCTATCATGGAATCTGATTGGCCAAGGAGAAACAAAAGTCATTACGTCATAGAAATCGTTTCCTGGCTCGGGTTCGCAGACGTTATTTTCGGCGGAGACAGGCAATAGCCGGAAATACGTCTGCGTTCGCAGACTACCTGACCTAATAATTATTTAAAAGCTTTCACATAAATCCTGGAAACAACAAAAAGCTCTGTTTTGTTTGGTTGTTTGTTTGTTTACCTGGAATGCGAGTACACGCGCACAGCCCGACGGTATCCAAGCTGACGACATACCACGTGACCGTCACGTATATCCCAGTCCTTATAGGATATTGTTCCCCAGACTCCTCCTAATTTAATTTCCACTCGGCCTTCGTTTGCTTGGTTGGATCCGTGAAGTCGTACTTCACCATCTAAACGAAAAAATACATATATATTATTCTTAACTTGCATAAGTACACTCAGTCTCCCTGCTGCAGGTAAATGTGCCAGCGCTAACAGAATATTCCACATGTCTCGCGCGACTAATAATGCGTTTACACTGATTTTAAGTTGATTTTTAGTCTATCGATGGATACAAGTTACGAATTCAAACTAAAGGGAAAGAAGCAGATAGATGTGTTAAAATATTTTTAACACATTTATCCGCTTCCTTCTCTTTCCCCAACTCTTAGTTTGAACTTCGCTTGCAGTCAACTCACAACAACACGAGGGAATGTTGGTGGGTCAGCAAAAGAAAGTGGGAGTGGTCGCTGTAAGAAAATTCGAGCCCATTCCAAGGTTTGGTGATTTTCGTAGCATGTTGGTTGGTTTTACGTGCGAGACAAAATTCAGTGAAACACTCGGTTAGGCCCTAATTTTACAATAACTTACCTCCTGTAATGTTGTCCATTTTGCATATCACTCCGGCGCCATATCTCTTCCCACAATCCGTCTCGAGCTCCCATCCTGCGCTCACACATTTATCTAACGATGTCTCGTTTCCCTGGCAACCGACACTGGTCAGCCACATTGGTCCAGAGCCAGAACCAAACTGACCGTGTCCAACCTCCACCACAGCCTCCGGGAATCCCAGCTGACGACAAACTACATCAGCGTCGTGTTTGTCCCAGCCAATACTGCACACAGCGTGCCAGAAACCGTGCTGTTTTATTTCCACCCTTCCCATGTGGGTGGAGTTGCTACCATACAACCTAACGTCCGCTGTTGCTGTAAAACAAACCAGAAATAACTTTTAGGCTGGATGCCGACAGGGTCCGCAGGGTAAAAAAGGTAAATTCTCCGTACGGGTCAAGTGGCCCATCAGGCCGGAGTTTATCCCGGTTTCTGTAGCATGAAGCGACTAGGAGTATTTCTACTCCCCCCTGGTTGGGATGCTAGTCCATCGCAGGGTTACCCCCGGCACCAATTTATACACCTGGGTGGAGAGAGGCACTGTGAGAGAAAAGTGTCTTGTCCAAGAATACAACACTATGTCCCTGGCCAGGGCTCAGACCTAGAGCGCACTAACCATGAGGCCACCGCGCCTCTCACCTGTTTTTGAAAAGTCTGAACAGTTTCATCGAAAAATTGAAAGACATGATTTTACTTCATGCTATAATAAGAATTATTCTATTATCGTTGGAGTCATTTATCGCAATCCACGTATTTAGTCAAAAAATTTTATTCACTTTATCAAAATTATATTTTTATATCTCGATCGCTGTTGTAAGACCTGTGAGACTTGTAAGCGCAAAGCTTAAGTGGCCAGGGTACTACATTGTATTTGCGGAGACACAAGATTAATATGGTGTTCCACTCAAAGCCTCATAAATAAAAAAGTGACATGCATTTCTTGTTAACTATACTTACTGTTCAATCCGGGTTCTTTACTGGACTCGCAGATTACTCCGCCTTCGTGACTATGATCACAGCCCCATGCTTCATCGCTGTTCCGGATGTATGTCAAATCGCAGCGAAAGATGGATGACTCATTTCCGGTACATTGTGCTTCCTCTACCCACAGGTACCCAGACTGCTGTTCAAATAATTCACCAAAAGTAGTGAAAAGGGCTCTGCGATAACCCAATTCTCGACACACCACGTGGCCTTGCGTTAGTCCCCAGGACCAGTCACAGAATGACCCCCAGCGGCCATAATGGCGGATCTGTACAAAACCCGCATGCGCAAGAGGAGATCCCACTAAGCGAACTGTGGGCATACGGATGAAGAATTGAGGAAGGTTAATGACAAGTGACACAAATGTCATCTCAAGAACTACAAAGAATCTAATTCTTCACCTCTTTCTCCACCTTACGGATTGGATATTTCGAGCTGTCATTGTTACCATTCACTGTGTTGTTTCACGAAGTTGAATTGAGTCTCATCCTAGGCCTCGGTTGTCCAAAAGATGGGTACCGTTATCTATATTGTCCGCTTCTATCCAGTGGATTGCTCAGTTTGTTTCTTCAAACGTATCCACAATTCGGTGAAAAGCATTATCAGCTTTTAAACAACGGAGCCTTTCAAATTTCTTAGTTTGATTGCCATAGTTACAAGATAACGAGACAATGGAGAAGAACACACAAATGTGTGCGTCGACAAACCATTTTTGCAGAGCCTTGCACGATCTGATTGGCTAACACATCTATATCATAGTACGGTCGAACCCCTCCGCAACGGCCACCTTGAGGATAGTGGAAAGTGCCCGTTGTAGAGAGGTGGTCGTTATGGGGAGGAAGGGGTGTAATATGACACCTATTTTTTTCGGTGGTGCGACATTTCATACAAATGAAGCGCGGTGAGGGTCAAGTTTGGTGACCTTTTACAATAAAAAAAATGAGGTTTTATATACACCGTTCGTCAGTCACTGATTAACTGGCCGTTGTCGAGAGGTTATTTTGGCAGTTAGGAGGCGTTATAGTGGCCGTTGCCGTTGTCGAGAGGTTAAAATGAGAGTAAATGTATGGACTGTCCGCCAAGACCAGAAAAAGTGGCCGTTGTAGAGATGTGGCCGTCAGTAGAGGTTCGACTGTTTGCATGAGCTCCAACGTTATGTAAAAATAGAACATAAGGTAATTTTTACAGTTACTTACCATTTGGTTTATCTAGTTTGCATACGACTCCTGCAGTCTGCCGTCTTCCACACGATCCCTTTCCCAAGTAGTGGGGGCAGTGAAATATCGAGCTTTCCTTTCCAGTACACCGTACATACGTCATAAGCGGAGGTCCAGAACCCCTCCCGAAGTACAACCCGCAACAAGTTGACCTTTCTGCACCGGGAAATCCGAGCTGACGGCAAACTACTTCAGCATCCAGGGAACCCCACTGGTGGTGGCACACCCTTCCCCACTGGCCGTTAATGAACACTTCCACCAGTCCAGACCCCTCCCAGTCGGGATGAGCAGACAGGCGAAGCTTTGGAATATCTGGCGAAAAGATGATATTTATTTAGCTTGGACCATGTGCCCTCCAGGAATCTTGAAACCATTCGGAACTTAACGAATTGGGTATCGAGGCTAAGTTATTGACAGTTCTTTCCAGAAACAGCCCTGGAGTATTCCACGACAGCGTTTCTTTAGTTTGGTTAGGGTCAAGTTGGCTAGGTTGAATAGCGTAAGCAAGAAAATAAAGGAGAAAACCTAATTATTGGAAACTTTTTTGTCTGTTTTCATAAAATGAATTAAGAAAGAGATATGCACTGCTTTGCAATTGTGCAGAACTTACTGCTCAAGTAATCAGAGCTCGCGTTCTATCTTTACAGATGGACGAGATATGCCTGATATATCAGTAGTTAACTGTTATTGGCAGCAAAGCGCGGGAAAATGCAGGTGACGATGTTGTTACCATTGGAAATGAGGCAACGGCAACACCTTAATTTTAAGTCCAAAACTTCGTTACCAAAGCTATGTCGCACCTTCCTCGACTGATAATCGTGATAATTATAAACCTGTAAAATGTACAGTGGTGAATATAGTTGACATGGCTATTATTTTTTTTACCCCGTTACCGCGTAGTTTTAACTTCCAGTCGCTAACTTTATGATCTGAGTACCTTACCTTTGACATCTGTGTTGTTCCCGGCTTGACAGATCACCCCCGCCTCATTCCGCCGCCATTCAGTTCTACAAACTGACTGCTCAGCGGAAGTCGTATATGAACATTGACTCAATTTCGTCTCGTTGCCATAGCAACCCACCAATTCGATATTAATTGTTCCCACTGAACCATATCTGTAAAAAGTGCCCTTAGTTGCCATGGTTACACCAGGATAGCCTAATTCCCGGCACACAACTGCGGCATCGTTCTCGTCCCAACCGTTGTCGCAAACTGTGCCCCAGACCCCTTGATGATAAACGATCACTTGACCTGCGTAAGGAGCGAAACTTCTAGACAGGCGAACTATGAAAAGAAAATCAGAAAAAAAGATAGGCACCTGTCAAATGTGGAACTGAAATGACAAACTAACCGTGACGTAAGAATTTTTGGCCATGATTGAGGGCCGTAGTCAGAAAAATTATGACTGATGTCGATGGAAAAATCATGATTGAGGCAATGTCCATGAAAACATTATGACTGAGGCAACGTCCATGAAAAAATTATGACTGGGGCAATGTTCATGAAAAAAATTTTGACTGAGGCAATGTCCATGAAATAAATTTTGAATGAGGCAATGTCCATGAAATAAATTTTGACTGAGGCAATGTCCATGAAATAAATTTTGAATGAGGCAATGTCCATGAAATAAATTTTGACTGAGGCAATGTCCGTGGTTAAATTCTCTTCCTAGGTATTTAGGGTGTTTATGATGACTATAAAAAGCAAAAACAAAAAAAATAACTGAGGCAGACACCTTGGTTTGCCTGTTACTAGGTACGGCCCTGCGATTGTTTACAGCCCGTGTTGGTGACGCAGCGAAATTTTCTGCCATATACCGTATTAGGTAAATACAATTTAGAAAGTCTGGTAAAACGAGCCAGGTGTTAACCCACTTAACAAAAGATAAACGAAAGACTAGTCCTTACGGCAACAGTCGACAGCTTTCGTCTGGTTCCCTAAGAACCAACACATAACAACAGGAGCGAAAACCCCAAGCTATGTCACTGGAGCTGCCGTGGCGTTCACGGTCGCGGTTGTACGACATTTAGCCGGTCGAGCGTCTAATCTATCCGTTTCTACGCGAAGATCGCTTTGAAACGGGAAAGAGGTTTTTAGTAAACCTAATCTGAAGCAATCTTCACTTTCTGGTCTTGATCTTTGGAGCTGGAGCGAATAATCCTCGGGAACTGCAATGGTTTCTCCGTGTTTCTTAATTCTCTTTTTTTTTTTTTCTACCTGAGTTCTTGATTGTTTTTCACTTTCAAGAGGTAGCTATACTGGTTGACTCTGAAATCAAGATAAGGCTGCGCAGAAATATGTTCCGTTTCTGAAAATAATTGAGAATTCTATATAAGACCATGGAACAACAGTTGAGTGCAATATATTTTCACGACTTCCGGGAATGTACCGCTTAGTGGATGCCGCGTCGTTTTGGCGCCAAAGCGACTCTGCAAATTCTGACCTATGATTGGTCAAGAAAACTCGAGGATGTTGATATGTTGATGTATTGTTGTTGCTTTTGCCTTTGTGTTTCTTTTATATAGGATGAAAGCCTCAAAAAATGCCATTATAACTGAAGCCCGGACTTTGTGATAATGAGCAGTACCAAAAATATTGAAACAGAGCGCTCCAAGAGATGGTTGATTTGCTTTGGGTCGCTTTGCGATTGACAGTGTTGTCGCGGTTAAGTAAATGTTTCCTTTGCGACAGCCAATATACAAACTGACTGATCCTGAGATATTCTTCAGTAAAAATATCTCTCTCTAAATTTATTCGCGCATTCAACCATAAGATCACTTCAGTTTTATTTGTTTTCCAGAAACTTACACGCTGCGGTTTAATCAAGCCTTGGTCGAGCTGAGTCAACCTTTTATGGTCGCTGTTGTGCTTTTTCAGCATTTTTTTTCAAAAGTTGCACTTAATTAGATGTTGCCAAAGAGAGCATAGATTGTACACCGCAAGTGTCATTGTCTCCCGTCGATGGAACAAAACTATATTGAAAAATAACAATGAAACAAAAAGATTTAAGGTTTTTTTTGAGTAATTTGCGGTAATTAAGCTAACAACTGTGCCCTGAAGTAACCATGCTGGTTTGCAAAACTGCAAGCTGTTTATTGCACAAATTTATCACAGTAGAATTACGTCATTCACGCTAACCAAAATTGTCTAAACATCAAAACTCGCTATTATTTGTTTTTCGCAGACATTTGGTTCGCCTGAGTAAATTTCGCCAATTGAATGTAGCTTCCAAAATCTGCTAATCTCACAGCAGTTTTGTTGCATGTTTTACGAAAACAGAAAAGCACAGCACGAAAGATAAAGAATTTATCGGTGCATTATAGAGCGCAATTTTGTAATAGGTTGGAAAGTAACTTCAGTGAAATCTCATCTGTCTCGGGATATTCACATGTGTATTCAGACCGTCATGCGAGTTTTTGAATAATAAGAGAAGCCAAAGAAACAAAATAGATGATGATATTGGAAGAGATTTGTGAAAATACCAAAATCTGAATATTCCATTTGAACTTATATTCCGGTTTACTCGTTTTAGAAATGAATTATGAAGTTCAATTTAAAAAAATGTTCATTTCATTTTCAATATAAGATTTGCATTTGACTTGACCGGATCGAACGTCGACTTGGTTAGCAATTGGAATCTTGCAGTGAATACTTGACTTGTGCGAGACCGTTAGCGGTGTCTCGTATTTCTTTGTTGACATCGCCATTTCAGAACACAATTTACAATTTTAAAATTATTTCTCCCGTACTGTGCACACATACCTTCCAATTCTCTGGCCGGTGTCGATTCGTCAGGGACAGATCTCTTCGATAAGGAAGAAAAAGCGGTCGCATAAGCGACAAATGAGGTGATATGTAGTATGGACCACATTTTAAAATGACAGTGCTCGTTTACTAGAACATGAAATTAGCTAACTAAACCCGAGACACATTGGGCTCATCAATAAACACGAACAAAAGTCAATCAGTCGAGACGAACACGTGACTTGAAGACATCAATCAACCGGAAAAAGAAGTACAGTCGATAGTCTGAATAACAAGGTGAATAATTAAGAAAACTGGTTAGCGCGATCCCACAGCTGACTGTGTCCCTTTTTGAATATTTTTCATTAAAAGTTCTGCTATACTGCCTGAATTAAACCTGTCTTGTTGTTTGTTGACAGGACGCGACAAAACGTGACTATCTACATGTAGCGGGAATTAGACATGAAACAACTCTATTTTCGTCTCAACTCGTCATCAAGGTCTCCTCGGCTGTGCTTTTAAAATGGAGGCTGGTCCAGACTGAGAGCACTGGCGTGCCGTCGACGTGTATTGCGGAATCAGGTTTTGTTCCGCTCGCAGGTTCAATTGAGGACTGTATCCATCACACTCAGAAACGCTCTAGATCTTACACTCTCAAGGGATCGTTTCGGTAAATTATCCGTTCGGAAGGCCTTTAATCCCCTCTGATTTTCTTAAGAGAATTGTCACCTCGAACTTTCGTGATATAGTAAGAAATTTAATGTCTGTTGTTTTCGGATTGTTAAAAATGTCGTTTCGGGTACCAAAAGAATGTCAGCTATCATTTTCTGAAAGGCGATAAGACCTAAAGTTTTCGGGAAATAGACAAAAAAAGCCGTAATAAATTCGAGAATACTCAAGTTCCCCTAGAATAACCGAACAGATAAAAATTTTTAGCGCAACCTAAAATTAACCAACCGAGCTATAAAAGTACTCCAGATAGCCTAACACAGCGTTTAAAAGCATTCGAGAGAAAACGGTCGTTGGGTGCCCCTGACTATCGTACGAGGTACCAAGAGTAAAGTTACAATTTATGAAGTTCACATGATCTCCTTCCTTATTTGGCTCAATTAACGCGTGCAAAGTACATCAGCTGATAAACTGCGGACTAAGTTCAATTTACTGTGAAATGTTGCACTCTACCACGTAATCATTTAACTAATTCCTTGTACATTTAATATGCGACTTATTAGTAATAGACAACTAACTTATTTTCCCCGACAACGTGCCATCATTTTGCAAATTCCCGGGAGGACCCCAAAAAATGAGGTTGATATTCATCCCGTTTGGTGAAAGCCCTCTTCGAACGAACGACGAGCAAATGTAGAAAATAATTTTTTCGGTTGGACAATTGCCAGCCTTTTTGAAATCGCATGCATTTACAACAGCCATTTCCAAGCAAACGTCTTGATGACAAATGCCGTTTCAGGTTTTTTGCGGGAAAACGCTCAGCGAGATATCAAAATTTTCTTTCCACTATTCATCTACAAAGCTTTACATCTAAGGAGAGTTTGGCTCGACATCACCGCAAGCAAATTGACAACGGCTTGCGTTCGGCATTGAAGTAAAGTCAAATTTTATAATTTTCCAATAGTTTCTGAGCAACATTGCAGCACTTACTTTTCGAGAAAACCTCAAACCGTCCGTTGTATGCGGCCTACTTTAGTCAATTAGTTTCGTGTAAACAGCTTCTCTAATAACAGCGGTTTAGTTAGGAAACCTCGGTAAGCAGTAACCGTAGTAAACCTCTCCTCGTGAAAACACGGCATGAGTGTTTTCAAATGACGTCACCGCAGTCAAACAATGAAACGGCGGCCATATTGGTGTCCCGAGTTGAACTCTTTTCACACACTTTCTTTTGTTTTAATACATTTGAATGGCTGCTGGCCTCGTAAATGAATGGCCGTAAAAAAATTGTAATTTCGACCTTAAATTTTAAAGTCGTTTTTTCTTGTTACTAAGTAAAGGCTTTTCCTGTCCGTTCAAAGAGGCATCAACATGTTATTTTCCCCAGAGTTGTCCTCGAGTGTGGGCTGCTTCCGCATCTTCTCCCTAAGAATAGAAAAAACTTTTTAAGTTGATAAAGGCACAAAAAGAAGTTCAAAGAACAGTTCACTGATTAAATGTTTATCCCTGACAAAATGAGAGCTGGGATATGAAATATCTCCCGTCATGTTAAAATGATTTACTTCTGACTGATCCAGACCATGTTCTTCAGTAGCTGCGAGCCCCTGTAGGCTCAACGGGCGTTGGAGATTTAAAGAATTATCCTAGTAGTCACGAGAATGTGTAAAATGGGAGTTACAAGCAACGGCGCATTCTTTCAAGAGAAATGAAAAACTAAAAATCAGTTTTTGTCCTATCCAGTGAGAAAGCATCCACAAATTTGTAAGAATAATTTCACTACTGATTTTGAATTATAAAAAAAATTACCTTGGCTTAAAAATTTTATAATCTCACTTCTCGGTTTCTTTCATTTTCTAAGCTAAAATAACCCAATTGGAGGAAATACCTCATTCCTACCTACCACTCCCCCTTCCTGTGTCCCCCTGTGCCCCCCTGTACCCCCAGTGCCCCATGTGCATATGTGCCCCCTGCTTCCCCTCTCCCATATTACAATGCCTTCGAACTGTCAGGGTTAATAACACGCTTTAATGATTTTTTTTTACTCACTGTTTTGTTTTCCGAATGTACAAGACGATGACGATGATGATAGCAACGAGACACACAACTCCAAGAAGAACACCGAGGGCAATCAGCGCGCCCTTGTATGACGTCACAGAGTCCGGCTCATCTGAGTTGCGACTGGAAGCTTTGGGTGAAACCGAGGGAGCTTGATTCGAGTCAACCTCCATCCGATTGATATAAGCGATGCCATGTCCTGTTCGTCGATGGATTTCCGGTGCTACTTCAAGCACCAAGTGCTGCAGGCTCTTTTTCGGAATGACTTTATTGTTACTCTTTACGGCCAGTCTCACATTCATGAGGGGTGTTCCCTGTAATGCTATGGGGTATCCCTGGAGAATGAGGACTTCATCGGGTTTAAAACGGGGGAACCTTTTCTGCCGCGTTTTTGTTTCTTNGCGAGGTCCAGCTGTAAAGAAAAAGCCACCATTTTTTAATGCGCGCGCGCTAATCACGCGTAAAATTATGCGCAGTAAAGATGCGCAATGCAATACTGGGGAATGACCTTAAACTCCATTTCACACTGAAGCGTTTGGTCTGCATCAACAATATGATCGCGTGATGACAACGGTTAACATAACGGTTGAAATAATATGCTCGCGTGATGAAAACGGTTGAAATGAACAGCGCGCGCTTGCAATACCTAAGTCGCACCGAGTGCTCGCGCTTAATTAACAAACTTTGATTTCAAGCGCGCGCTGTTCATTTCAACCGTTTTCATCACGCGAGCATATTATTTCAACCGTTATGTTAACCGTTGTCATCACGCGATCATATTGTTGATGTAGACCAAACGCTTCAGTGTGAAATGGAGTTTAACTGAGGAGTGGGTTACCTTTTCGGTGACCTAAGAAACAGTTCTGTATTAAACATCCATCCACTCAAGATTTGAGTAGTTCACCTAATTGTTTATATCTTATTACATGTTTTTGGTGTGTTGTATCACTGTATATTTTTTACGAGTTGTGCCGTATTTTGACGATCCCGTAGGGCTCGTCAAAATACAAACAACGAGTAAAAATATACAACGATACTACACACCAAAAACATCTAATAAGAGATTTATTATCCAACTGCTATAGTCAATAAATTTATGAATGAAAGAGGGAGAGTCTGACTGTTTTGCGTGCGCGCGCCGACCTGTACCGCAAACAGGTTTTCTACTGTACAATATCGCTGTATATTTGTACTGTTATTTGGACGGTATTCGCTGCAGTTGGATAATAAAGATATAGATACATTACACCACTCAGTATTTTGACAACGATCCTTGATTGTGTACGTTTGCAAAATTTAAGTTCAAGTTCCTGTTGCTTAGTTGTCATCGTGGACAGAAAGCATTAAATGTGAAGTATCCAATGGTTATGGTGTCGGTCCGATGGATGGATGAATACAGGCATGCAAACATGCATGCATGACTGACTGACTGACTGACTGATTGACTGACTGGCTGGCTGACTGACTGACTGGCTGACTGACTGGCTGACTGGCTGACTGGCTGACTGACAAGCTGACTGACTGACTGACTGACTAGCTGATTGACTGACTGACTGGTTGGCTGGCTGACTGGCTGACTGACTGACAAGCTGACTGACTGACTGACTGACTGACTGGCTGACTGACTGACTGACTGACAAGCTGACTGACTGACTGACTGACTGATTAGCTGATTGACTGACTGACTGACTGACTGACTGGCTGGCTGGCTGGCTGACGGACTGATTGACTGACTGACTGACGGACTAACGGACGGATTGACGGACGGACCAGTGGACGGATGGACGGATTGACGAGTGGACGGAAGGACGTATGGACGTACTGAATGAATGAATACCTGTATTTAAGTGTCGATTGATACGCATGCAACAATGAACAGACATAAATGTTTACCAACCAACGTAAACCTCACAATATTCTCCAGCAAACGCTTCCAAACAGTAACATTTCCACGTTGTTTTCACCCGCTCACAAGAACCACCATTCTGGCACCTTATGTTGGGGCACTTATCTAGAGGGCCCCCTGTGCTTGTGGCTGAGGTAAACAAGGGTCCTTGAGTGGTGAACGTCCGAGTAGGTAACAGCTTCGTAGTGTCAAGCGTCCCTGTAGTTGATGACCCTGTCTCTGAACTGGCGCGTGGAATTTTAAATGTTACCGTGGGGGAGGCCCTGAGGATGTTTACAACGGTTGCTGTATGACCTATGGTGGAATGTAGTAGAGATTACGATATGTAAAACGAGAAAATAAAAGAAAAACAAAACATTAAAGGCCTGGACTGTTTCACAAAAAAGTTTTTCGCCGTCACTTAACGATACCTTAGTCCAGTGCCTGGACTCTTTCTTCCCCGCCCTATATAAGGGTTGAACCCAGACGGGAGAANAAGCCTCTAAAGGGAAAGTCAATAAAGTATGTATGTAAGTATGTATGTATGAGAAGATAACCGTGATGAAACTATTTTTACGCACGTGACCGTTGTTTCGGTTACAGGTCGTTACAACTGATTGCCATGCAAAACTTTAACTTGAGTTAGAATATTCATCCTTTGCATTTTGTCATGATTAACTTCATGGTCAAAACTTCAAATACAACGGTTTATTAAAGGCGAATTTTTCTAGGACCCGAAGATTTGACTTTTGGTAAATTCGACAGCGAAATACCGCACTACTATCAAACAATCCATAAAAACTTTGATTTTTGTCAATCACTAAGACGTCATGACCGTCGTCTGTTCGTCTCAGAGCTAGGAGGAAGCGACTAGACAACTTCATTCACACTGGCCAGGCTCTCTCTCCTTTGTCTCCCTTGCCGCAGAGGAGAGAGAGGTCCGTCTCTTTCCTCAGCGACAAGGGAGGCAAAGGAGAAAGAGCCTGAGAACGAGGTTGGGGACTCGACTGAAAAACAGGAATTTCTCAATGACAAGTTCAATAAGCTCATTTGCTATCGGCAATCTCGAACTATTTTTCGTTGCCCTCGATAGTAGCGTGGTTCAAGTGTATTTACTTTTCCCTTCACTATATTTTACAAAACTTGATAAAATAAATGACAATTTACTAATACCTGTGATATTGGCGTGTAGTGGCTGACAAATCAAACAAACAGTGCATAGTTTGCAAGCTCCACAGTCTGTGTTGTCAACTCCACCCAAGACCTTGAGATTACACTGATCAAGAGAAGCTTCAAACCCCTGACAGTTTATCTGAGCTAACCAGGTTTTCTTTGCGCCTTGAGTAGAGTGTGGACATTTTTTACTTAGGAAGCTGTCCTTCAAAGGAGGTCCGTGTTGCAGCTGCCGACATATCACTTCCGCTGACCGGTATGATAAGTCTTGGTACACTGCGCAAATCACGCCCCACGTTCCGTTATACTTGACTTGCAAGTGGCCTACGTTGGGTGTGTTCATTCCGAACAAGCGAACTTCCAAACCTATGAAAGACGGTTGAATGACAGTTTTATGAATCATTGTGAGATACTGCGTACAGTGTGAATGAAACCCATCTGCCTCACTAACTCGATGAAAACACAGACAGGTAGTTAAAGGAAGTTTGAATTAAAGGTGTTATATCACGGATTCGCATCTTGAAAAGTTTAGCCCAAATTTTTCAAGTTTGTTGTTTGTAATCCGTGTTAAGCTTCTCCATCCTTATCTATCCTTGTTCCCTTACGGTTTATTATTATCTCTTTGGTGTTTTTCTACCTTAGTTAAATGCTAAGGTTTCCTTCAGTTTAAAGGTAATTATGCACATGGCCAAAATGACTCAAATTAGCATGACTGAACTCCATCAACCTCTGCGAGGTTTGCGCCAGCGTAAACACGCCCGCTAGTTATGACAACATTACGTCAAAATAGGATATTATTTGGCGCTATTTACATTTAATTATTGCAAGCCGAAGTGGCTCGAAAAACTATCGGAAACGATTTATAATTCTACTTGGTGTAAAACAATTCAATAAAAAAGTTCTTCCATCTTTCTATCGAGGCATAGAATCATGAACAGGGGTTTGGGAAAAATTGAAATGCTGTGGGAAGAGCAGCCCTTGGAGTGTGTTTCCTCAAATTATTTTTAGTTCTTCAAGACCCTCACGAGTGTTTCATATGACCAGCTGTTTTCAGTGCTAGAACGCATTTTGCCACCAGGAAGGCAGCCCCGAAAATGGTCTAGGACGAGCGGGTAAAATGAGAGTGTGATTGAAACGAGACGCAATTTGATAGAAAAAGGAGATTGTTTGTAGTTTATCATGCACGAAACAAGTAAACTCTAAATTAAAAAGCAGGTTTTTTTGCAATACCGCAAATGTTCAGTCTTAAAATGATAGGGTTTGGACAAGAAGCTTCAGGACGATTTTGTTTAGCACATTTCCGACGTTTCTTCAACGATACACTAGCTCCGAGATGATGTTAAGTTGGAAGTGACTTTGTTCACTGGAAACCAAACGCAAATTTCTTATCCTGTTGCGTTTTCATAAGCTATTCCTCTTGCTTAATTTTCCCGCAATTATGTTATTTTCCTGCTGATTTGAAAGTAAATCGGCCGTCCAGTATCTAGGGGAAGTGTTACGGTTCGCCGTGGGTGTGCATATCTGTGTCCATGATCGTCATTTATACATGTCAGTTGTGAAATGACTCCTACACGTCCAGGCTTTTAAAACACGCTATGTGCTTGCTTAATTGCAAGCGAATCAAGCAGGATGGCTGTTTATAGGACATGGCGTTTTTAATCACTTTTAAGTCATGGCTATCTGTAAGGGTTTTTCTGCAAGGATGTTTGGCTACCAGTGTCCATGACGACGTTGTTGCGCACAAAATGTATCATCAGCCTTGAAAGGGAAAAATGTCCGTTTTCCTAATTGCAGAGAAAACCAGGTGAATGGGGATTCCACCAGGACCAAGAAATTAAACTGCAGTATTAAGTGGCTGCCAAGTTGAACTTCAGGCGAATACAGTTTGTAAGCCCGACAGTGCAATTCACTCTGCGGGAATTTTTTCCTTCACTTCTTCTTTGCAAGATTTTTTTTTTTATCAGTCACCCTCCCTTGCATGATTTTTTTTTTCATTTTTTTCCACTCTTCCCCCCACCCCCCGACTATCACTTTTGTAATGGTCCGTCCCTAATGTTCAGAAAGCCACTCACCACTTTTGTAATTGGTATCATTAGTGCACTCAACCCCTATGTCATCAGTGTGTTCACCAATGTCATACTCCAGCTTACGTGGGCAGTCTAAAATATTCCTCTCATCTCCTCTGCAGTGTGGGTTGCTTAGCATAAACTGCATACCCGCATCCTTGTCCAACCTGAAATGAAGGCACTGCAAGATTCCTCAAGGTATTATCAACAGATGAATTCAATATTATGACTACAGTGTACTTATGAGTTATTCTTTATAGTAGATGGGTCCCTGTGCGCGCCCTGATTGGTCAAAAACCCATGTTTTATCAGAGTATAAAACATAGAAAAAGCGTGTTTTGTTGTTTTTGGCGTTAAAATCTATATCATAAAGCAATTGAAGAAGCCTAAACCGTGCATTACACTGTGATAAAACCCGCGGCTCGTGTTTTGGACATTTCCCTCGTGTTCTCAAATGCTCGTCGTGTTTTATCACAGTTTAATACTTTATTTGTTAAGTAGCAAGAGAGTATAAATACTAGTTATGTAACGCTTTCTCGTGGTATACCATGGAATATATAACGAGTCACTTGTATTTTCTTGGTATACACACGAGTCTTTAGGCGAGTGTGTACACCAAGAAAATACAAGTGACAAGTAGGATATTTCATGGTATCCCACGAGATAGCGTTGCATAACTATTTCATATCATGCCATAGAAAATACAGTGGTTAACACAATCAATGTGACATATGCGTGGCGCATGATGGGAAGGTTGGGTGTAAGACCGTCAAATATACAACGGCTTGCCTGTATTTTCTATGGTATGATATATAAGGTAGAGAGATAATCTCACATGGGGGCCTTATTGTCAAGGTAATCCCTCTTAAGTAGTGTTTATATATGGTAGCCATTTTATGTTTCCGGACGCGGATGATATTAGGGAGTTTAAGAAAACCACAACAGTAACCAGGGGCGTAGCCAGAATTTTTCAAAGGGGGGGGGGGATCACACTGTGTCAAAGTGAAGGTACCCACCTGATTGTCATGTCGTTTTTGCTACCTGTTAGAGGTTGTTTGTTTAAAAAAGGCTAACAAAAGGGGGGGTCACGGGCACCCCAGGACCCCCCTAGCTACGTCCCTGACGGCAACGGCAACGGGAACGTCACTGAACAAAAGATTAAACGAGCAGAACAATGGCTGTGCACGTGCGCTATAATTCGTGGTACATTTCTTTGCCGTCCCCTGCAAAACGACCTTGTGAAATGACCAAATTCTGCGTTGTCAGGAGACCGTGAACGACGACGGCTAATTTTTTAAATTTCTATTTCAAATTTAACGCTGCGTTCCATATCCAGTTTCTAGATAGTTTTGACAGTGACAAACAAACTAAATGACTTAAGATTATCGCGAGATTCGCAAGTAAAATATAAGTTCATTTTTTAATCGACGTTGTCCTCGGCGTAGCCGTCGTGGTTTCTTAAACTCCCTATTAACACACGCGGTGCGTTGATGTTTTCGTGGAAGATCGTGTAAATCTGCTTGGGTTGTCCATGTGAGTAAAATTCGCGTTACATGCAGTATCAGGTATTTCTAGACCCTGCAGGGATTTCTGATGCAGTGAGGGATTTAGAAATAACTATAAGGGATAACCTTAGGAATGGTCTGCATGAAGGATTCTCTTTTACCCTTCATCCACTCTTGCAAGTTACTCTCAGTAGCCAAAGATCTGGATGGTCAAGAAAACCGTAAGGTAAAGTCTGCATACGAGCCAAGGGGCTCATCAGGCCGGAGTTTATCCCGGTTTCTGTAGCATGAAGCGACTACGAGTATTTCTGCCACTCCCCCCCCCCCCCCCCCCCTCCC